GGTCGACACAAATTCTAACCTGATCATTGGATTTTGGAACTACTACCATACCAGCACACCATGTAGTTGGAACATCTACCTTTGATATAACACCATTTTCTTCCATGGACTTCAGTTCTTGCTTGACAAGATTCATCAAAGGTAGCAGAACACGTCTAGGTGTAGATAAGGCATAAGGTTGAGCACTGGGTTTCAGCTTGATTGTATAGTCGCCTTCCATTTTATCAAGACCTCTGAACAATTTTGGATAATGATCTAACCATTTGTCAGCTATATCATCAATTCGCTGAATAAGGCTAAGTGCTTCTATTGCTGGTCGGCCTAAAAGGGCCCTGGTTATCCCCTTAACTACATAGCTATCTTGAACAGTTGATTTGTCACCTTTCATTGTCTTCATATTAGCACTAAATTTGCCAACTACAGACAGGACAGAGTTACCAGGCACAATTAATGTTTTATCATTATTTCGGAGCTTGGGGAAATTGTTAGTGTTGTATACTTCCAGTGGAATAACTGTAACATCGGCTCCCGAGTCAATTTTGAAATCTTCGATGACTCTAAGGCTATTATGACCAATGCTCCCCAGAAATGCGTTAGTCTGATGTTCACTTGACTGAATTTCTGACAAATTTTTGGGCCTGGGATAACTGCGACAAACATTATTCCAGTGTCCTAGTTTTCCACACTTTCTACATTTGGAATATGTTGCAGGGCATTGACTTCTAGGATGTGAGGTTTGACCACAGTACATACATGAATTTTGATTCTCAGGCTGAGGTTTTGATGGAGGTAGCTGTTGAAAATGAGGCTCCTTTTTCATCTTCTTGAAAGGCTTGTGAGTTTTAAATTTTGGTGCATGAAGCTCCTCAACTTTGTTTGGGGGTCGATCATTTGAAGACGAATTGGCGTGAATAACAAGCTGTTGTTTGTGTATGATTTCATCTTGCCTAGTCCGATCTACAGCTTTCTTGAGAGTCAGCTCTGGGTCATGCTGAAGTTTTTCTGAAAGATTCTTATTGTGGATGCCCACAGCTATTCTATCACGAAACATTTCATCATGTAAAGCACCATAATTACAGTTTTCAGCAAGCGAGTACAGGTCAGTAATAAAGCTGTCAACAGGCTCTCCTTGACGTTGAGAACGCTGATTGAACTTTGCACGCTCGAATAAGACATTCGTCTGATGGCAAAATACAAGTCAAAGTTTTCCTTTACAATGTCATAATCCTTCTCCTCCCTTTGGTTAAGAGAAAAAGTTGGCAGAATATCATCGGCTTCTGTGCCCATGAGATAGATCAGTTGATTTACTTGCGTTTCGCCTTCTTTGTTGTTCAGCTTGGATGTGATACGGAAGCGCTCGAATCTGCAAATCCATATCTAGGCCATCCTTCCGGGTTTGAGAAATCAAATGGGTCTGGTGGTGTAATTTGAAAGTTTGCCATGGAAAAGTAAAGCAAATTACCTACATCCCACTTCTGACACCATGTGGCAATGCCCAATGCGGCATGGATAAATACAGATGGGAGAAAGATCTTAAAGATACATTATGGGAGATTTTAATAGAGAGTTGGCCATTCTTGCTATGACAGTTCAAAAATAGATGATGAAAGAAGAATATGTTGAAAATCTCAGTCAAATTACTTTATTCTGAACAAAGTTATCACTATTGTAATTTTTGACTAGAAATAGGAGTCAACTCTCCCTTCACCGTCTCCGAGAATATACAATCGTTTGATTGACAGGCGTTAACTCCACCTACATAATCTCGATTATCAAGTAACGTTTTCAATGGCTGTGGTTTGAGACAGGGTTGCAATTCAATTCGTATCACATTTATTTTTACTAGCCTACAAATTAAAAATAAGACTTTTCATAAGACGTGAAAGTTTGAAAGGAATGGACCAAAACAATGAGGCATAATTATACCCGACTTCTTGTTAGCCTGTGTGTACTCTTTCTTGTACTGTAACTGGTAGGCCTACGTAACTTGGCAGACGTGTGCTTTTATTAAATCCCTAGAGTTACATCCCTTAGATGGGGCTCTTTATAGGTTACATCTGAATACTGAGGCCCTAGAAGGGTGGACGGTAAGCTGATACTACATATACTAGTCCTGAAATTACATTAGTCTAAGTCTAAGTCAAGTGGATGTTTAACCCCATTTCTCTCTCTCTCGCCTTCTCTTGACTGTCATTTTTCTCTAGATCAGTGTTTTTGGTGATATTATTATTTGTGTATGACATTTTGTCAGGCAAAACTAGTCATTATTTCCAGGTCTGTCTTCAACGCTTGCTTTATCATTTGTAGGTTAATTCATCTGGGTCAAATTTTGTGTGGATTTTCTGGACCAGGTATGGGGGGGTGGACCAGCACTTTCAGCTGTATGGTTTCCAGCCAATGAACGAACTACAAGTACAGCTGTTTGCAATGTTATCAATGGTCTTGGTGTAGCATTCTCATTCATAATTGGTTAGTGTACCTAGCTGACAAATATTACAGTTTTTGGGTTGTGGTATACTTTATTTGCTACTAGAAGAATGCCCGGCTTCGTTTGGGGGTCATAACCCCGAAACGGAAGTGGTAGACTAACGCCACCTGGCCTATGTTACTCCCCGGTCCGAGCTACCCCTATACCCCAAATTTCAGACTCTTGGCAGACCTAGTGTAGCTGCCAACCCCGAACAGACAGACAAACTTCACAAATATTAGTATAGATGCATTGATTTGCATGTTTTACTATGATCCTTGCTTAAGGTTTTACTGTAATCCTTGCTTAAGGTTTTACTGTAATCATAGTATGTTTTACTGTAATCATAGTATATTTTACTGTAATCATAGTATGTTTTACTGTAATCATAGTATGTTTTACTGTAATCATAGTATGTTTTACTGTAATCATAGTATGTTTAACTGTAACCATTAAGGTTTTACTGTAACCATTAAGGTTTTACTGTAACTCTTGCATGTTTTTAGCTGTAATCCCTGCATGTTTTATTGTAATCCCTGCATGTTTTACTGTAATCCCTGCAAGTTTTTAGCCGTAATCCTTGCAGGTTTTACTGTTATCCCTAAATGTTTTAACTGTAATCCTTTCATATTTACTATAATCCTTGCATGTTTTATTGTAATCTATGCATGTAATCCCAGCATGCTTTACTGTAATCCTTGCATATTTCTTTCTGTGATCCTAATCTTTGTATGCTTACTATAATCCTAATCTTGGCATGTTTTGTTTAATGCTTGCATGTTTTTACTTTAATATATGTTTTGGCTTTTTTTCCCCCCTGTGTTGTTTCTCTTCAGTGTGATGTTTTACATTCAGCTCATTCTAATTTCAAGACACATTGATATCTTGTCTTAGAACGAATTTCAAATACTTTTATGATTCGATTTTTCCTGTTTTAGAAGGAATTTTATAATAAAATTTTAGTGTTAAATACTGTTATGATTTGTTTTTTTCCCTGTTTTAGAAGAAATTTTAAATAAAATTTTAATTTTAAATATATGATTTGTTTTTCCCTGTTTTAGAAGAAATTTCAAAATAAAATTTTAAAGTTATTATGTTTCATTTTTATACGCCCACATTGTCGTCGCCCCCATCCGTCCGTCTGGCGGTCCGGCGTCTACAATTGATTGTGGACGCTCTAGAGGCGAAAGTTAATATCCGATTGACTTTAAATTTATACACAGTGTTTAAGGTCATGAGACGAAGAATCCTATTGATTTTCAGCGATTTCCGATAATTACTGCCAGAGTTATGGCCCTTGATCGCTTCAAAAAATCTCGTGGACGCTCTAGAGGCCAAAGTTAATATCCGATTGACTTTAAATTTATACACAGTGTTTAAGGTCATGAGACAAAGAAGCCTATTGATTTTCAGCGATTTCTGATAATTACTTCCAGATTTATGGCCCTTGATCACTTCAAAAAATCTTATGGACGCTCTAGAGGTCAAAGTTAATATCCGATTGACTTTAAATTTATACACAGTGTTTAAGGTCATGAGATGAAGAAGCCTATTGATTTTCAGCGATTACCGATAATTACTGCCAGAGTTATGGCCCTTGATCACTTTGAAAAATCTTGTGGACGCTCTAGAAGCTAAAGTTAATATCCGATTGAGTTAAAATTTATGCACAGTGTTTAAGGTCATGAGACGAAGAAGTTTATTCATTTTTAGCTATTTTTTCGATAATTACTGCCAGAGTTATGGCCCTTGATCACTTCAAAAAATCTTGTAAATGCTCTAGAGGCTAAAGTTAATATCTGATTGACTTTAAATGCAAACACAGTGTTTAAGGTCATTAGACGAAGAAGCCTATTGATTTTCAGCGATATCCGATAATTACTGCCAGAGTTATGGCCCTTGATCACTTTGAAAAATCTTGTGGACGCTCTAGAGGCTAAAGTTAATATCTGATTGAGTTTAGATTTATACACAGTGTTTAAGGTCATGAGACGTAGAAGTTTATTCATTTTCAGCGATTTGTGATAATTACTGCCAGAGTTATGGCCCTTGATCACTTCAAAAAATCTTGTAAATGCTCTAGAGGCTAAAGTTAATATCCGATTGACTTTAAATTGATACAGAGTGTTTGAGGTCATGAGACGTAGAATCATATTGATTTTCAGCGATTTCCGATAATTACTGCCAAAGTTATGGCCCTTGATCACTTTTAAAAACCTTGTGACCCTCTAGAAGCTAAAGTTATCATCCGATTGACTTCAGATTCATACACAGAGTGTAAGGTCTTGAGACAAACAAGTATATTGATTTTCAATGAATTTTTATGACTTGAACAGCTAAATCCATGATGTTAAAAGTTTCCTATACTAAACGTTAGCATGGGTCAAAACTTTATAAAACCCAAACAAATTCTAATGGTTTTCTGATAATTACTTAATGAGTTGTTACTCTTAATCAGATTCTAATCGCCCGGACGATTTAGCTGCTGTGGGCGTATGTTTCGTTGCCCGGCAACCTATCTTTGCTGTTTTAGGTCCACTACTGGTGCCTTCACCAAATATAACAGAAACAAATTCGACTTTTATAAAGTAAGTCAGTATTGATAATTTGTTATCTAGTACTTGAGAACTTGGGTTATTTTAGGATGCTGGGTATATCTTAAGGACCTAGTAGGTATATCTTAAGGATGCTGGGTATATCTTAAGGACTTGGTGGGTATATCTTAAGGATGCTGGGTATATCTTAAGGACCTGGTGGGTATATCTTAAGGACCTGGTGGGTATATCTTGAGGAAAAATATTGATCCTGTAGATTTCCATCTCTCTTATTCTAGCTAAAAACAAATCCAACACATAATGTAATTTACATCTGCAGCACCATTTTTGGAGAAACAGGATATCAGAACCGACAAAAGCTTGCATAACATTTTATCTTGGGTGGAATCTTAAAACATAACTTTGAGTTGGAATTTATATGCACTATCAAATGAATTAAATTATTATTATTATTTTAAAATAGTATAGTTAAAAGTTTCAGCCTACATGTATGATTTTACATAAAAACCTTGCCTCTTGAAAAATATATCTCCACCTACCAGTACCTGTTAACACACAGGATATTTGAATACATTATGGGAGATTTTTGTAAAGAGTTGGCCATTCTTGCTATAACAGTTCAAAAATAGATGATGAAAGAAGTATATATCTTGAAAATTTCATTGTAATATTCTATACTTCATAAGATTAATTCCCAGAAGACAGATGATTAAAAATTACTTACACTTAAAAAAACCAAAAACAAGACAATCTTTAAAACTACTATTCTGGAAATCCATTAAAAAAGTTGAATTTACATGTTTATCTGACTTGTGCCACAATTAGTCAGAAGACGTGCATGAACTACTTTTAAAGCTTTGTAAAATTTACCAAGACATTTCATTGAGATTTTAAAATGGTCTATTGTTTTGTTTTTTTATTTTTTTCAGTTCAACAAAATTAGATTATTTCCAGTCTGCTAATTTCTCTAATTCAAGTACATGTAAGTTAACAGATTCCCTTAATAACATTGAGAGAATATGCTTCAAAACCTCAACTTACTATATTAGTAGCTGTTTTAAACTAAATACTAATGGTATAATTTCGACAAATCTGGACGATAAATCTCATCAATGTTAAGTGAAAGGAAAATAAAATAAAACGCAAGTATGAATAATATGCATAAGAACTGAATGAGGCTTAATATAATGCTCTTCTGCACCATCCACACATCGTGAAGTATGTTATCAGGGAAATTTTGCCCGGGATTTCCAACAATAGAAATTTTATCAAGTTAAAAGTATTTCTGCCTATTCCATCTGTTTTGAATCTCAATCTGCCTATTGGTATACATGGAACCTAGCCTGAATGCTTTCCTTACTAGAGAATCCCTAGGAAAATTGTCAGCCAAATGTGAGCAAACCCATCACTGAAAGAATAACCCTGTTTTACAAATGTAACTTGTAATACCCCCGTCAGACCGGGGTAGCATCCTTACTGCACTGTTACGGTGACGGAAAATGATCTCAGTGCGCGCAAAGAACGCCATAAGCATTGTAAAAGCGTGGTGGAAATGCCAGATATCGTTCTGTGGTCTCCAAAACAAATGCCAAGGTCTGCAATCTGACCCGGAAAGCTGTGAGAACGAAGCTTCTTTTCAAGTTTGTAATTTTTGGGGACATTTTCTCGTGTTGTGTTCATGTTTGCCAGCAACCTTATGCATTTTCTGGTCGCCGTACGGTTGCAGCAGTGCAGTAAGGGCGCCATCTCGGTCTGACTGGGGCATTACATGCTTAAGGGTTAATCTTGTGTTTTGATTGGTCAATTAGACACTGTCGATTGGACAGTAACACCCCTCTGTTTTAGTAATTTCTTTTAAAATGCTAAAATAGCATGTTACAATGTCAATAAACACTTCCTGTTTCACATTTAGAGGGGTGTTATTGTGCAATAGACTTGGCCTGAGATTTTACATTAGAACCAGCGATGCTAATGATCTCAGGACATGTCTATTGCACAATAACATCCCTCTAAACAGGAAGTGTTTATATCTCCTAATCCTTAATCTGTTTATTTTAGCTATGAGAATAAGTCAAGAAAGAAAAGATATAATGTTTTTAATGTATATAGGTGAGTTACTGGTACCTTGGGGACAATTTCTGTCCATATAACTCCTCAAGTTATGTCTTTTTATGAATCAAATTTTGTTGCCATTCCCAAATCCACAATCATTATTATAACCAGATATTTCTCATATTTGTAAAGACATAATACCTATTTATTAAATCCTAGAGTTTTATGTTCTTTCGTATACAAATTTTTGACTTTATTACAGAATTCTGTAATTGTGGGGGTGGGTTAAACATTATTGGTGTTCCTGAATTACTATATAGAACAGGGGTGGCCAACCTTTTACATACCATTCGTTAATTTGTGAATTCAGATGCGCCGTAACTCTTCTATCCCCATCTACTTCAATAAACAAAACTCGATCTTTCCTAATTTCATTCATTGAGCTTATTTTAAACTGACAGATAGCATTGACTTAAAACGGGTGGTTGGATGGCCGAATGGTTAGCACATGCGCGCTGTATCATAAAATCTGTCATTGAGTCATTGGCATTGTTTCGCTTGCATGGTTGTATGTGACAAGGAGTAGGGTCCAACCTCCAGGGTTTTTCTCCAGGTCCTCCGGTTTCCTCCTACTGCTAAAGACCCCTACGCGCAAGCGAATTATAGAAATAAAATTGAACCATGTTAGTCCCGAAAAGACCTAGTTTGAGTCGAGTGGAGTTAAACTCTCTCTCTCTTTCTCTCTCTCTCTCTCTCTTTATTATTGTCACAGGGATGCAGTGCAGAGTGAACCACTAATCATTCAATGTGCCACAATTGGTGTATGTGCCAGATGTTGGCCATCCCTGATAAAACGAGGCAGGTGTATTATTTAGTATATATATTACTGAATTTGAAGGTACACCATTTGTATTGTGTTGTGTGTTTATTTAATAGATAATTGGGTTCTTTTTTTTAACAGAATTTGGTGGTACATTATTGGTGTTCCTGATGATGTTGATTTATTTTCCGAAGAAACCACCACTTCCTCCCTGTGCTTCAGCAACTATCAAAAGACAAGATTTCTGGAAAGGACTCAAAGATTTATTCAAGTAAATGATGTTCATGTCCAGTGTGTCTGGAGCTGGGTGCATATATTATTTTCTTCCTGTGCTGTCTCTAATTGCATTCCATTGGGTTCCCATTCTAACAGGATCATCCTGCCACCCACCACTTCCGGTGTCTCTAATTGCATTTCACCTCGTTCCCTTTCTAACAGGATCATCCTGCCACCCCCACCCCAACCTCCACTTTCTCTAATTGCATTCCACCAGGTTCCCTTTCTACCAGGATCATCCTACCACCCACCACCTCCACTATCTCTAATTACATTCCACCGGGTTCCCTTTCTACCAGGATCATCCTGCCACCCCCCCACCTCCACTATCTCTAATTGCATTCCACCGGGTTCCCTTTCTACCAGGATCATCCTGCCACCCACCACCTCCACTATCTCTAATTGCATTCCACCGGGTTCCCTTTCTACCAGGATCATCCTGCCACCCACCACCTCCACTATCTCTAATTGCATTTCACCAAGTTCCTTTCTAACAGGATCATCCTTGTCCCCCCCCCCCCCACATACACACACACATTAAAATGTGGAAATATTTATATAATTGTAATTGAAATCATATTCATCTTATATATAGTAATTAAAACACTTCTTAATGAATGAAAGTGGAGGTGGTGGGTGAGGATAATGGTCTAAAATTTTCACTGTATATAATAATTTAATGTGTTCAATCCTGGATTTGTATGTGATACTAAACCCCATTTATCTCTTTCCATAAATTAAACAGGTTTTGCTCTTATATAAAGTATATAAAGGGTTAAAGAAATGTTTACTCCTGTGTACAATATATATAAAGGGTTAAAGAGGTTTTAAACTGTAAGTAATAATGACATCTCTGTTTTTATTAATTAAGATGTAAACAGTTCTGGTATATAGCTACAGCGTATGGTACATCTCTGGGTGTTATTAATGTGTGGACTGGTATAATAGATGTTAACCTTTCACCTCTAGGTGTATCACAGGTAAATATTACTTAACAGAATACAAGTTTTATGGGAAACAATCACTGGTTTTATTATATAAACACCATTTTTCAGCAAGTATCCTCTTATCAAATGTGACATTTGGTTATTTGTTTATGTTTTTGAAACTAACATTTGATCATTCCGTTATTGGTTTATGTTTTAGATTATATTGGTTATTTATTTATTTTATTGATTCTAGTATTTGTTCATTTGTTTATTTTACAGAATATAACATTTGATTATTTGTTTATGTTATAGAATGTAACATTTGATTATTTTGTTATTTGTTTATGTTATAAAATATAACATTTGATTATTTCTTTATGTTATAGAAATTAGAATGTAACATTTGATTAGTTTTTTTATGATTTTGTTATTTGTTTATGTTATAGAATGTAACATTTGATTATTTCTTTATGATTTTGTTATTTGTTTATGTTATAGAATGTAACATTTGATTATTTCTTTATGATTTTGTTATTTGTTTATGTTATAGAATGTAACATATGGTTATTTATTTATGCTACATTTGGTTATTTGTTTATGTTATAGAATGAAGCTGGTTGGATCGGGTTTTATTCAACATGTGCAGCATGCGTAGCAGCATTAGTTGTAGCTAGGTATGTCCAGTAACATTCATTATCACAACTATTTGTATGTCAAGTAACATTCATTAACTTAACTATAATTGTTGCTAGGTACCTCCAGTAACATTCATTATTTTAGTAAATATTTTTTTATAAGTGAGGATGTTGTTATTGCTATTTGCATGCAGTCAGTAGTTTTGAATTCACTTTGATATTTGGATTAAGTGCTGATGTTGAATGCACTGTTGAAAAAATGTATTACATTTTTGAAAATCTGCATTGTTTTTGCTTTGTAAATTTCTTGCATCCTCGATGTAATGTAGTATAAATATCAATAAAAACATTGAAAATGTAAAAAAAATAAATATCAATAATCGGACAAAATAACAAAACTTTGTACTGAAATTGTCTGTGACGGTAAAAATGTGCCTTTTTTTACACTTGTTTCTCCATGGGGGGGGGGGGGGGGGGTTGGATGGCCAAATGGTTAGCATGTGAGTGCTGAATCATAAAGTCTGTTATTGAGTCAACTGGAGTGGTTTTGATTACCCGGTTGTATGTGACAAGGAGTAGGGTCGTCTGTCCAACCTCTGTCCAAACTCGTGGGTTTTCTCCGGTTTAATCCCACTGCTACAGACCCCTACGCGCAAGCGAATTATGGAAATAAAATTGAACCATATGTTAGTCCCGAAATGACCTAGTTTGTGTCAAGTGGACGTTAAAGTCTCTCTCTCTCTCTCTCTCTCTCTTGTGTCTCCATGGTAAATTGTATTGTTTACAGGTATCCCTTTCATATTTTGTTGTATATTTTATAGGTTTGCTGATGTATTTAGTAAAAGGTTAAAGTTGTTTATATTTATATTATACACTGTTGGTACTGTGTTCATTATCTGGTTTGCTTTAGCCAGTGCTCAAATACTACCTACATCCACTGGTAAGCTATAAAGAAATATAAATAAAAGTCTAACTACCTACTGTTCTACACAAACCCAATCTGATTAAAACACAGATCCTATTTCGTTTCGTTTTTATAGTTCAAAATTTTGTTTTACTTGCCTTTACTACAATAGGATCAGGAAGAGTTGTTATCATTGACGTGTTCTGGATGTTGTGAGGAATTAGCCAATGAATCGGTCTGTTATGGCAAGCTTTAGGCTTGTTTTGCACGAAACTGTGGGTAATCCACTAGTAACATCAATGCTGATTGGTTAATCAAATGTCTGATGTCATAGGGTCAAAAGCCGCTCGTATGACCTCTGACACAACCTATCGCAACAACCGGTCAGATCTTCATGTAGTGTAGGCCATCGAAAGTATAAAAACGAAATGAAAGATAGATTTGTATTTTAATCAGATTAAAACAAACCATGCTGCTAATGAAAAAAGCAAAGGGATATAACCAAAACAGTTGTCCACAATTCTTATCATTCTAAGTAGGTCCATGTATACCATTGGCAGTTAGAAATCAAAATAAGAGTTGTGTCTAGTTGTTTGTATGGGACAAAAAAACAAGGTCCTGTGTATAGTGTATACCGTTGTCAGAATCTCTGATAATTAAAATTTATAGATTAAAATTTGGTGATATTTGATTAGGTAATTGATTTTAATTTTATGTAATTTGGGGAGAGGATGGCGGAGTTGTTTTAATTAATTTTATTAAAAATTTGTGATAATTGATTTGGACATTGAATTTGATATGATTTTGTGTGGAATAATTATTAAAAAAAATTTTTTTTAATTTGTGATAATTGAATAAAATAAAACCAAGTACGACCCAAAAAAAAAAAAAAAAGGTATAGGCAAAATAGTGTAATCAGCAAATGGACTGTTCACCGTGTACAGAATACACGACAAACAGTGGTAACTGGTGTCCGGAAGAGTAAGCTTACCCTGCCTGGCACCATAGCTGCATCCAAACTATTAGACGAAATCTCGGTAAAATAGCGTGATTGGCCAATAGTACATTCAACTATATATGATTTTTGTTTCAAGTGTTTTATATATAACTGTGATAATTTAATTCAAAATTGAATTTGATATGTTTTTTCTTTCAGCTGTTTTTTACCTTACTGTGATAATGGGTGTTATGGCATTAAATGCCTCAGTGCCGTTATTATTTGAATTAGCATGTGAATTAGCCTATCCTATTGGTGAAGGAACAACAAATGGTGTGATGACCATTTTAAATAATCTGGGTGGACTCATTTTCCTGTTCATTTTAATGATACCAAATATAGGTAAAAATAAATACTAACTGTGTTTTTCATTGTTGGACACAACAAGATAGACATATATTTCATAACATCACAACAAGATAGACATATTTCATAATATCACAACAAGATAGACACAATTCATAACATCACACCAAGATAGACACATTTCACGTTCATTTTAATGATACCAAATATAGGTAAAAATAAATACTAATTGTGTTTTTCATTGTTGGACACAACAAGATAGACATATATTTCATAACATCACAACAAGATAGACATATTTCATAATATCACAACAAGATAGACACATTTCATAACATCACACCGAGATAGACACATTTCATAACATCACAACAAGATAGACACATTTCATACAAAAACACAAGATAGACATATATTTCATAAAAACACAAGAAGACAGACATATTTAATAAAACACAACAAGATAGACACATTTCATAACATCACAACAAGATAGACACATTTCATACAAAAACACAAGATAGACATATATTTCATAAAAACACAAGAAGACAGACATATTTAATAAAACACAACAAGATAGACATATTTCATAACATCACAACAAGATAGACACATTTCATACAAAAACACAAGATAGACATATTTCATAACATCACAACAAGATAGACACATTTCATAACATCACAACAAGATAGACACATTTCATACAAAAACACAACAAGACAACACGACAAAATAGACATATTTCATAACATCACAACAAGATAGACACATTTCATACAAAAACACAAAATAGACATATTTCATAATTAAAACACGAGATATATAGACATATTTCATAACATCATAACAAGATAGACATAATATATGTCATTAAAATACAACAAGTTTATTTATATGGTCAAAATTGGTCTAAAATTCAGAAACTAATCTATCAGAAAATATAAATATTGGTATGTTGATGTTTGTGTCCGTTCCTCTTCACAAATTTTTATGAAAATTGACAAATATAATAGGTGTTGATTGAGCATGCCTAGTGAGTAAGACAGGTCACAGGTTTTCTCCCAGTGTTGACCAAGAGGGTTTCTCAGGATTTTCCAGCATGATTTCCCCTAGTCTGTGTTGCAGTGTCTAGTTATTCGAATGGGATGAAACACTTAAAAGACCCCTTGACAGTTGAAATCCAAATAATAGTAGGCTGTAGTGCCGCTGCTTGGGCACTATATCCCTCATATTCCCCTGTTCATTATTCCAATCTGTGCAGAAAAGTAGGACGTTAAACCCCATTTCATTTTTCATTTCTTTAGTTAGCCAATATCGTCCTACTATGACAGGTACAATGTGGATGAACTAGAGGTTAATATTTAATTTTACTGTTACAGGGACAATGTGGATGAACTGGACATTAATTGGAGCAACAGTTGTATGTTTTCCACTTTATGGAATGTTAAAAGAAACTTATAACAGACTAGATATAGATGAAGATAAAACATTGAATTCAAATGTTACAGTAATAACTAAATCACATGCATAACAAAATAATCGCCTATTAAAAATTGTATAACAACTTGAAAATATGTACATTACAGAAATAAATTTATGGCAGATAAAACATGCAAAAGAGCTTTGGAAAAAAAAGTGATTTACAGTGATCAAAAGACAATATAATTTTAAAAAAAAGAAAAAACAAAGCATGATTAATGCCAGTGTATAGGCTGTATGAAGATAATGATAATTGAATATAATTACTGTGTGTATAAGGATAGCTCAATTATTACAGTAACCACTTGCATAATAAAATGACTGTCTGGTAATTATAATTTGTATTTATGTTTTATAATAATGTCCAGGTTGAAGTAAACAACCAATCGTCCTTTTATTGTTAATAATTTCTATGAACATCAATTATGATGTGTTTAAAGATACATTATGGGAGATTAGATAAAGAGCTGGCAGTTCTCACTATAATAGTTAAAAACTAGATAATGTAAAGGGAACTTGCTGAAAATTTCAGTCAAATTGATCCACTCTGAACTGAGATTTTAGCGATTGAATTTTTGGTCTAGCCTTGATCATCATTACCAAAGTCGGTAAGATAAAAAAACATAGTCTCGATTATCCATTTTTTGATTTAATTATCAATGAGCATTAAGCAGCAGATAGGATTCTAATCCAGAAAATATCACAGGCTAGCGATGACATCGAGAGTTGATTATGGTCTGGATAAGTTAATTAATCTCAAATTAATAATTTAGATACCATTTCAGGCCATAAAGAAGGATGTGCCATTGGCAGATTTAGCTAATAGCATTTAGTAATTGAACGGGAAATACACAGGACAATTCTATGGAATGCAATTCCTGTTTATTACTGAGCGATCTTTCGACTAGGGTACTCCAGTCTTTGTTTAGGAATGATAACAAGAAAAGCCTATACAAAATGCTTCTCTGTTTCAAACAGTGATTCTATTTCATACAATTATATTATAATCCATAGTTCTGCAATATTTCAAACTTATTATATTTTCTGGCTGTCAAAATTTTTCTCTGTATCAAACAGTGATTCTATTTTATAAAATTGTGTCCCGTTGACAATATTTCAGACTTATTATATTTTCTGACTGTTATTTATATATGTTTTCTGTCTCCTCATGGATAATACTGTTGTGAATCTAGTAAAACCTACATATCTATATTATTTGTTTATTTGTATATACATGTATTGGTAATGATTTATCAACCTTAAACAGTGTCTTAAACTGTCTTGACATAATAATATTGTTGACTAATGTGTTATATGTTATTTGACAGTTAAAGAGCAATACATGCGTCTCCTGTGCTGCAACGCATCTTAATAATAGTCAGCTGATCTGAGCTATTGGTGTTCATATACCACCGAATATGGTTATTTATAGATGCACTAAAACCAAAGTCAACAATTCCTCATTATATAGGCGAAATATTGTTAAAATTGTTTTAAATTATACAGTATAATATTAAGGCAAAATATTGTGAAAATTGTTTTGAATTATACATATGGGTAAACATTGGTAAATCATTTTAAATTATACAGTATATTACAAGGGTAAAACATTGGTAAAAATCTTTTTAAATTATATATTATGGTATATTATGTTTTGTTTCATTCAAGTCAGTTAAGCCAGGAATACTCATTGAAAGACTTATTTCTTATTTAATTAATGGAACTTTTATTAACTTGTTGTTGTTATTGTCTTTTGAAAATTTCCCCTTGATTTTTTGTTGCTCTATGTGTAACCTATATATAAATGGAAAACTAACAAAATTGTGTTATAAAATAAATTTATATTTATATATATCTTTGTCTCATTGAAACATTTTATAAATTTATATATTCTTTAATTTACTATTTTTTAAAATAAATGTAAATAATTTTTTTTTTTTCATTATTATTATCAAAAACATCTATATTTGGTATCTATATTATATAGTAAAATTGGTGATCATAGTAAATACTGAACCGAATTGAACTATTTTTGGATATTACTTGGTTCAGTTTTATATATTTTAATGGCCGATACTCATTATAAAAAAAAATATTTTAAACCAAATTTAACCAAATGGGTGCCATACAAAATTCATACCCACTGGCATTTTATCTTGGTTCATCTAAATGATTAAATGCCTCGTGCTTTCAAAAAGTTGGGAGGGGGGGGGGGGGCCTTTTCTATTTTCATATATGAAACAATTGTTTTCTATTTATTGAATGTATAAATGATGTAAATATTTTTAAAAATACCTTTAGTTTTTATTAATGGATGTAAATTAGAACAAATGTTTATTAATGGATGAAAATTAGATAATATTCTTAAAAATAAATGGAACATGTTTTTTATTAATGGATTATTAGAAGAATTGTTTTATAAATAGATGTAAATTGTTTTATTCATGGATGTAAATTAGAACATTTTTTTATTAATGGTTGTAATTTAGAATATATTTTTTATTAATGCATGTAAATTAGAACATATTTTTTATTAATGCATGTAAATTAGAACATATTTTTAAAAATTAATGGATGTAAATTAGAATATATTTTTAAAAATTAATGCATGTAAATTAGAACATATTTTATATTAATGGATGTAAATAATATAATATTTTAAAAAAATAATGGATGTTAATTAGAAGAAATTTTTATTAATGGTTGTAAATTATTAAATTGTTTTAAAAATTAATGGATGTAAATTAGAACATACTTCTATTAATGAATGGACATGTTTGTATATGTATCTTTGTTTCTTGGTTAACCAGGGAAAATTTATAAGTTTCTAATTCAAACTATAGATGTCTAATTTCATACTGTTCTTAAAAATGACTTGCAATACAAATAAACCTGAAAAGCAATAATCTTTAATTTAAGGGGAATTAAAATTTTGACTGATGACTATACAAACTTTATTAAACAAATTCTGAGCATTTGTTTGGGTTTTTCTAAACAAAAAAAAACCGAAATCTGTTAACTAAAATTCAATAAATATTAGAACTTGAATCCAGTGATTCAATACCTGTTATTATAATTATATACATTATTTTTTACAAAATAAATTTTAAGAAAAAATAAATCAATATTTTTGCTAATCTAGAATCAGTGTGTTGTCATTATACCCCACATTAAAATGTTGTTGTATATTGCCTGTCGTACACAAACAGTGTCTTACATGTATCTACAGATTAAATGTAGAAAGATTCTACCATCCTCAGTATCCCCAAGGGTTTGTGGAGTATAACTGAACGATACCACTGGGGATACTGATGGTGATATTCTACATCCGAATCGTATTCCGATGATTATTCCGAGTATGATTTTTCCCAAAATACTTCTCTTGGATTTGGTTCAGGAAGTCCTGCAATTTCAGAAATAAAATTTATCATAAACTAAAATAGAATTATGTCTTAGATTATTATTACGACATTTTGTTTGATATAATATTTTTCTGAGGGACGAACCAAATCTAGGAATCCGCGATATAAAGAAGGCTATCCTGCTCCTTTCCTAATATTATCGTTGGAGAAACCACGACCCTATTGGTGATGGAATGAAGCACAGAGGTATATATATATTCACCTAATATACACGTGAATAAACGAATTTACAGACAGAAAGGTTTATTCTCTTACCTTGAATCCATGGTAGTAGTTTCAATAATAACAGACGTCTTCCTAATTCTGAAACTTGTAAAGTTGTTATAGTACAATTGAACTAACGTCATCAGTTTCATTATCTCATCGTTTTAATTTGTGGCGTCATAATAGCCAAACTTTTAGCCGAATACCTTGTACCAGGATCTTTTATTCAATGCCAACTTTGATCTTTTTATTTACACTTTATTAGACATATCGGTCATAATCCGTATTTAAATTTGTCACGATGTATTCAGAGTGTCATAAAGCCCTTGTTCTTTTCTTAAACTCAGATCACATTCGCCAACCAAATTCTGACGACTTTACCCTTCCAGGAGCACCTTATACCACTTGCCATTGGGCTTATTGTTTATATCTAGTGAAACATTCGCGTTGCTAAAGGCTGGGAAAGGTGGAAAATCAACACATATTGTCACCAGGAACGTTTAGAGGTAATGATATTTAATGTGATTAGAGTTGGAGTATTAGGATGTTTTGGATTTGTGTGAGTTTGGGTAAATTGTGCAGTTGGTAGTAGTCGGTGAACATGCGTACGAATTGTCAAAGGCGAGAGTGCTGTAATAGACACCCACAATATTAATAACCCACCAGACTTGTCCCGTTATTATTGGTAAAACTAGCGCTGTAATTGATTTTTATACGCCCACATCTTAATGTGGACGTACCCTTCCGCCCGCCGTTTCGCCCACTCTATCTTGTCAGCACAATAAGAGCCTACAATTTTAATTTGATTTTCTGCCACTTTCAGGAATTATGACAAGATGTGGGCCCCTGTTTCTTTTCGGCGAAATCAGATTGAGGTTGACTTCGATTTGTCGTTTGTCAGTTTATAGTCATTTTTGTTGATTTGTTTGGTTTAGACGGTTTAAATTAACCAGGTTTTGGTTAATATTCATTATTTAGAGGCGAAAAGATAACGAAGTTTTAGTTTATGGTGATATGTGAGGCGAATAGTTACATGTTATTAGTAGCCTTCGTGTATCTCAAATTGGCCGAATGCTCCAAAAAGATGTGCGGATGATCGCAGGTATGTTATCTATGCAATACGTAAGTTAGATTGGGCGGAGCTATGGGAACGTAGCTAAAAACGTTGAGATATACTGATGTGCTTGATTTTAGCACGATGGGGTGTCTTTAATTAGTTTCACATGGCAGAATTAATCAGGCGCGGATCCGGGGGGTGGGGGAGGGGGGCACCCGGCGCACGCCCCCCCCCCCTTTTTTCCGGTGGCGAACGATTTTTTGCCCCATATTCTCACGGGAAAGGAGAAAAAAAATACTTAAAAATGGTAGTGATCCCCGTCGTAAATTGGTGGTCCCTGTGTCCTTGTGTGGTGACTTGGTTGATTGCCCATCCGTCCTCTCACCGAGGGTCATACATATGCCCAGCCCAATGTAGTGAAACAACTTTCGTTTAGCTGTAAATATTGTTAGTAAAGTTAATCAACCGGTGTTTCTAACAGAATCGACAAGGCAATTCTTGCGACCTTTAAAGGCTATCCTACTTTCCGTGTATGTTGATTTTTGCCTGTTTTATATGACATAATGTTTAGCCCCGACTTCATGATGTAAAGATGTCAAATTTAAAATGCCGGGAAAAGTAAGCTATTATCGCTTCGATTTAAAAGAGGCGATTTGTACCTGGGTCAGGTAGGATTATAAGCTTAATTGTATTTGGGTGTGGCAGAAATGTTATAAATAATAATCAATCGATGTTTGGAAGGAAAAAATATCAATTTTGCTTATTTGATGCCCGATGTGATCAGCATTGGAGTTTGCCAGTTGGATCTACATAGTACCATCTCTTATCTCGAAACACGGAGGGTTGAGAGATGAGGATTCTTGTCAAGATTGGGACTAACGTCGCCTGTCCGGGCTTATATGTTTCTCGTTGAGTAAGGCACTGGATCACTTACCAGGGGGTCCATGGTTCGATCCCGGTGATAGCCGATACATTTTCCTGGAATTTTCTGTCATTGCAGACCCCATAGCACACGGTATGGCGCAGGTCCATCTTTATTATCTCGGTAGGTGCAGAAAGGCAAGTATCCCTCTGTCAGTGGAATACAGGGCGGGGGACCTGGCAGTGTCTATAGTCATTTGGATGGGACGAAAACCGAGGTCCCATATACACAATGGTATGTACGTAAAAGATTCCTTAACAGCTGGAATTCGAAATAAGAGTAGGCCGTAAAATAACTAAATTTGATTGACTTTTAGTTCTTGCAAGTGTTATCATTTACTCGCCCAATTCAATCTGATTAAAACACTGATCCTATTTCGTTTCGTTTTTATAGTTCAAAATTTCGTTTTACTTGTCTTTACTACACTAGGATCTGGAAGAGTTGTTATCATTGACGTGTTCTAAATAGTGCGAGATATTAGCCAATGAAACGGTCTGTTACGGCGAGCTTTAGGCGTGTTTTGCACGGAACTGTGGGTAATCCACTAGTAACACTACTTCTGATTGGTTAATCAAATGTCTGACGTGATAGGCTCACTTGCCGCTCGTTTGACCTCTGACGTGACATATCGCAACAACCGGTCTAATCTTCATGGAATGTAAGCCATTGAAAGTATAAAAACGAAACGAAATATAGATCTGTATTTTAATCAGATTGTCGCCCAATTATACTATATGAATTAACTTTTAATATGATTAATTAAAAACATGTATGAAATCTGTTAATTGTTCTTTATTATTTCCATTCGAAATAAATTTACTTCTCAATAAACTACTTATAAACATGTTTTAAAATTGTACTTCATTTGAAAGATAATAATATTTAAAGCACTCCATCACCTTAATAGTCAAAATATTTGATCTGTAAAGCCGTTATAACAATCGTTTTCAAGCCTCCCAAAAATCATTATATTATATGCAATTGATGCTGTTTATGCCAGTTTTATATTTTTGGCAGACTAAAACAATTAAAAATGGCGACAGGAAGCCAATAGACACAATTATCAACTACCAAAAGGATATAATAGTTATAATTTTATGGATTCGAATAATTTTAGACCAACAGTTGTTCTTTAGATTTTTTAGTTTATATATTTGATTTCATACATTGCTGTTCATCAAATTGGTCAGGATTTAATATGTTATTAAAATGCCCAGCACCCAACTTGAATGTCGTCTTTATACCAATTGTTGTTACAGGATACCTGACCATCTACGGTGTCACATTCAAATCTGAAAATATACATTGAAAATGGTGGGGGTTTTTTTCATTTCTAATACACGATGTCGTGGGGCCGCGGGGGGGGGGGGGGTATTTCTTTTCATTTTCAAGTCGTGAGAAATTTGGGCGAAAATGAAATTGTCGCATCGAGCATTTTCATATGGTTCTTGGTCAAAACATTAGATTATATTTTATCTAATAATTTCAGTGTTTGATGTATATATGGTTTTTATTTATGCTCCGCTAAATTGCTAATATGGGTCACAAAACATATAATAATGTAATATGAATGTATATAAACTAATTTACATTCAATCTTTTCCGTTTTTACTCTAATTTAAAATCAGTTACGTTAGGCGAAAAAAGCGAGAAGTCTCAATCGAATGGCAATCTCTAGCGTCTTTTTATTCCAATCTACACCGGTAGTATCTATTGCACATGCTCTCCAGATAAGAACATGGCGTCACCGTTTGAAATGACTTGTGGAATATGTCTAGCCTCGTTCTTCGAGACCCTTGTTACAAATGGCGTTGAAACGCATTCGCAAAATGTTTTGACTTAATTATTGGATATCAGAAGCCCATCTTTTCCCGGTAAGATTACAACATCAGCGTTGATTTAAATTGACAAATAATTCGTGTTTTCAATGTCGAAGACTGGATGATATTGAGTTAAAGACTTAGCTACTTTAAATAATTAAGTTACTCGTGTTAAAGCTATATAGTATACTGTATACATAATAATTATAGCGTGACATGACAGGGAACCAACCTGCACACTGCATCCGGAACAAGAGGGCATCCATTTTGTTCACCTTGACACTCAACAGCATTAGTTGTAGTTACAGCCAACATTACAACAACCAATAACACTACACAATACATTGTTTTCATCTTGAACGTCTCCTTAAAAAGTAATTTTCATAATTATAAAGAGGAAGTAACTCTTGTAAGTAACTGTCACTGTAATTTATGAAATGAACCACTTAAAGATACATTATGGGAGATAAGATAAAGAGATGGCAGTTCTCGCTATAATAGTTAAAAACTATATAGTGTAAAGGTAATTTTCTGAAAATTTCTGTCAAATTGATCCACTATGAGCCGAGAAAGAAGCGGGTGAAATTTTTGCATAGTCTCGGTCATCATTACTAAAATCATTAATATAAACAGCATAGTCTCGATTATCCACTTTTTTGATTTAATTATCAATGGCCGTTAGCGGCATATAGGAATCTAATCCAGCCAACATCGAAGGCTAGCCTTGACATCGAGAGTTTATTATGGTCTGGATAAGTTAATTAATGTCTAATTGATAATTTAGATAACATTTCAGGCCTAAAGAAAGACTTGTAATAAGCAGATTTTGCTCTTGCATAATGCATCTTTAATAAATAACCACACATCATTTGAAGCTTTTAAAGTGGACATATTGTTCTTTACAAAAAGAAACTGTTGGAAACATATTATATCAATTAAAGACCAAAATTGAGGATGGAAATTAATAGCGTTAATGGGCTTATAACTTTATATTGTCCATAACATTTACATTAAACATCACGAATTATAATTTAATATTGGCCCATTTCAGCCAATATTGGTGTTATTATCTTACCGTGGGCTCCATTTAAGGCACGGTGCATGGCACACAATTAATTCCCAATGTCGGCTTCTCTATTGTCTCGAGCACCATTTGTAATGAAGAAAGCAAAACATATCCCACAAGTCAGTGCGGGAGTAATAGTAATGGTTTGATCCACAAACGACAAAAACAAAAAGAGAAAATTGTTTTGGATTGTACAAACCAGATGCAAACTACTGACATTTGATTTGGACTGCTCACGTATTTCGTCGAACATAACTGATTAGAAATTACAATTTTAATTGTAATTTTAATTTTAATTATTGAAATAAAAGTAAACCATATGTTAATCCCGAAATGACCTAGTTTGTGTCGAGTAGACGTTAAACCCCATTTCTCTTTCTCCCTCCTTGTGTAGTGTCGCAATGAGTAACAATATTGTTATTAATTTATAAAAATCAACCACGCACAGTCTTTGGATGGAGTCATTATAATATGAAGTTTTTTTTATATTATGGTGTTGTACAAACTTATTGAACTTCACAAGCGTTCACATTTCTCAAATACAACTCTTACAATTCTTGAATTGGACGACTACCAAAACTCTTAAACCTAACCCGGGACCTATAGCCCCAAATTCTTAAACCTAACCTACAATCTCGCCAACATGCAACAATCACGCGCCCTGACAAAAATTGTGCTGGCATTATCAAATAGATTTAGCTATCGAGTGATACATAATCGACATTATTCAAGAATATTGCAAGTAACGGAGCTTAATCTGTAAATTTATATGAATATTCAACAATTGATTAAAGACAACTATTTATTTTTATTTTAATCATTGATTATTTGAAAGTCGTTGTGGTCTGACGGTAACCCAAATGAAAAGATGTTTTAACACTTTAACTTATTAATAAATGAATTGCTACTTACTTTCCAAGTCGAATGGTTCTATGTAAAATGGGTTATTATAATATCCAATTGTCTATATACTAACATTTGATAATTACATAGATGCGACATTTATACGAGGGGAAGGCCTATTATTTCTATATTTCCTATCTATATACTTTAATATGTCTGACACATCCTCTAATTACGAGACTGACATTTTAATGCGTATATCCAGGGAAGTTAAAGTAGTCAAGCCTTTAACTCAATATCATCCACTGTCTTCGACATTGCTAACACGACTTATTGCCCAATTTAAATCCACATTGACGTTGTTACCTTACCATGAAAAGATGGGCTTCTGGTATCTAATATTTAAGACCAAATTAAAATTTTAAAATTGGCACACGAATCGCGTGCCAGAATGCTTTGAGCGTTATTTGTAATGAAGCGACTCGATGAACGAGGCTAAACATATTCCCACACAGGAGAATACTACAGGTGTAGACTGGAATAACCAGACACCAAAGACTGCCATTCTATTTGCACTCTTCGCGTATTTCGCCGAACACAAGTGATTAGAAATTACAGGAAAAAACAGAAACAATTCAACTTAAATCAGTTTATATACATTCATATTACATTATTATATGCGTTGCGATCCATTTGTGTCCATTTCTAGATGCCTAAGAATACAGATTTAGCTCTTTTAAATGAAGGGAATAAAGCCGGTTTAACTGCAGTGGTTTACCCGACAATATTTCTTATCGGATGAATAGATTACAGTATACATGCAGCGCACACACATAATTTATCATTTATATTGCAATAATTAAAAAAATATGCACAGATGACAATAATATTAGGGTAGACAATTTTATTAAGCATGCAAAGCCAAATTTTATTGATATCTTTCAGTTAGGCTAGTTATTCGTGTATGAACTTGGGTGATTGAAATGAATTGACGTTTAACGTCCTACTTTCTGCACCGATTGGGCTAATGAAAACGTTCGTGTGCTATGAGGAGGTTTTCTCCGGGACCTCAGGGTTTCCTCCCACTGCTACAGACCCTACGCGCAAGAGAATTATTGAAATAAAATTGAACCATATGTTAGTACCGAAATGACCTAGTTTGTGTCGAGTGGACGTTAGATAAATTGCCGCAAGGTATTAGAATTTTATTCAGCAATCTCCGAGGAGAACCCGCGGAATAATCAAAGTAAGTATATCTACTAGTCGGTCGGATGGGACGTGGCTGTGTGGTTTAACTTGCAACTTATATCATCAGGTCAGTCATGGACTGAGTACGGGTTGTCTACCTACGTGGGTCTTACTCCGGGTGCACTGGTATTCTCCAACTGCTAAAGACACTTCTCTCACGAGGTCCCGCATAGACCCAAGTGCTGTTTGTACGGTGAGAGAGAGAGAGAAATGGGGTTTAACGTCCACTCGACACAAACTAGGTCATTTCGGGACTAACATATGGTTTAATTTTATTTACATAATTCGCTTGCGCATAGGGGTCTTTAGCAGTGGGAGGAAACCGGAGGCCCCGGAGAAAACCCACGAGGTTGGACAGGCGACCCTACTCCTTGCCACGTACAACCGGGGATTCGAAACCACGCCAGTCGACTCAATGACAGACTTTATGATACAGCGCGCGCACGCTAACCATTCAGCCATCCAACCCCCCTTGTTTGTACGGTAGCTTGCCTTTAACTACGTGGGTTTTACTCTGGCGTTCTCTAATTACTAAAGACACTACTCTCTCTCCAGACCAATTCTTATTTCGAATTCCAACTGTCACTTAGGTGAGTGATAATAAATACATAATCCTTTCACAAGATGAGGTTTAACGTCTACTCGACACAAACTAGGTCATTTCGGAACTAACACATGGTTCAATTTTAGTTCAATAATTTGCTTGCTCTGAAACCGGAGGACCCGGAAAAAACCCAGGAAGTTGAACAGGCGACCCTACTCTTTGTCACGTACAACCGCGAAATCGAAACCACGTCAGTTGACTCAATGACAGGCCTTATGATACAGCGCGCACGCGCTAACCATTCGACCATCCAATACAACCCCCGGTTATATTTATAAACGAGTTGACTTTTGACTCATATTTGAGCGCTATCCAATCACGTACAGACCACTACCACTATAACCGGTTTTACGATCATATTGATTGCATCGTACCTTGCTGAATATATATGTCGAAAATCATGTAATTATTTTTTATCATAAATATTTCCAGGCAAAAATAGCCGTCACCGATTTCTGACTGTGACAATTCCATCCCAATTGAGTTTCCCAAAAAAAAACGTCTTCATTAGTCCAGTAGGAGGAGAAAATTATGACGTTTGATTTCATTTCATTTTACTTGTTTTCAAAATTTTATTAGACTTGGCCCACCAATGTGTTCACTCTTAGTTGGACGTTAAACCCCATTTCATTTTCATTTGCGTTAACTCTTTAGAGAGTTGTTTCCCTTTGATCATAGTCACGATTACGTTTTGGCGTAAAATCCAATCTAAATATAACATAAAAAACAGACACACAAAAATATAATTAGGTATTTTTAAATCTCCAAATCGTATCAATTATTAGTTTTGAAAAAAAAACAAGCAACAACGGGTATCGTCTGCCATCTACCATAATAATAATTTTAAAAATAAGTGGCAAAATGTACGATATATTGACAATTTCAGTCAAATTACTTTATTAGGTATGTTTGGAGTTTTGACAAAAATAGCATAGTCTCGATTGTCATTGCAACGATAATAAACGAATTCTCGATTTTCCACTTCAATGCTAACCGATTACATAGCGCGGATGATCTAATCCACTGAATACACAAGCCATCCTATGCTCTAGAGAGTTGATTATGGCTTGTAATGTGAATACTAATATAAATAATAGTCTATTAAACATTTGAAACCAGAAAAATATCTCTAATAGGCAAATTTAGCTCTTGCACAATGCATATTTAACCTCGTTTCCCCAATTGCACCCGATCATCACTAAATAAACTGTCATGTTATAACTAACTATTTAAAGTACAATCTTAACTCTTCCATAATACACCTCTAATTGTACGGCTACTGCAGTCACTAGTATCAACAAGTTTTTTTCATCTAAACTGAATATTACGGCCGCATACTTTGTTCGCCCTGTTAACACCTTGACTCCAGTGATCCAGTATCCCAGTTATCCAGTCTTATAGTGCTCCAGTTATCCAGTGTTCCAGACTCTTGTTTTCCATTATCCTATTTACCAGTTTTCCAGTATTCTATTCTCCAGTTCAGCAGTATTCTATTCACCAGTACTCTATTCACGATGAACCCCATAATCAAAACCTACGAAGTCCCCGAAGACGAGACCAGCAGGGTGTCCTACCACGTGGCGGTCAGTAGCACAGAGAGATTGA